CTTCCATCTTCCTCTCTTTCTCCTAAACCTCATTATCTTTGTTTTCTTCGCGTTCAACTCCAATCTTTTTTTATCTAAATATTCTTCTAATCTTTCTATCATACTCCTCAGTTCTTCTTCCCCTCTACCAAGAACACTATCACATCCGCGTACGCCAATGTATATATCCTTTTTTCTCCTATTCTCATTCCTCCCTCGCACCTTTCCCATTGTTTCCTCTAAATCCGCTATTAGAATGTTAAATAGCATTGGGCTCAATGGGCATACCTTACGCCTTTCTCTATCCAAAATTTTTCTAACTTCCTCCCCTATCTTTATCCTGCACGTTGTCTCCCTTATCACCTCTCTACCCTTCTTCTTAATCCTTTCTTTATTCCTCTCTCTTCCTTTATTTGCCTCCATTATTCTCCTGTCCACTGAATCAAATGCTGCCCTCAAGTCGACGAACATTGCCGTCAACCTTCTATCTTTTTCTTTCCAGTTGCCTATTAATTAGATAATTCATAACGTAGATGTTGTCTATCGTTCCTATTCCTCTCCTAAACCCCATCTGATTTTCTGGCACTATCCCTTTTTCCTCCATCTCCTTCCTCAATCTTTCTGTTAGTATCATCGTATATACCTTATACAGTGATGGCATCAGGTTATTCCCCTGTAATCTCCACCTTTTTCCATCCCCTTTCTTCATTATCGGTACTATCACTCCCTCCTTCCATCTCTTCGGCCATCCTTCTCCTCTCCAAATCCTGTTGCAAAATTCCAGTATCCATTCCTCCACGTTCCCTCCTCCATACTTCCATACACTCTCACTCTCGTGCACGATCGGACAGATCGTCTCACTCGTCGAAAATGTAAAAAGAAATGCACTGCTCTCTCACGCGAACACAAAACAAAATCGCGAATTCCCGCTCGTTTCGCGATCACGTCGGGGTCACCACTTTGGTCAACTCGCGCGTTACTTTTGGTCTCGCGCGGCGCGATTACTTATTCGTTTTGGTACGAGTCGGGAATTAAATAACGTGAGGCAGTAATTGCAATTAACAAATATATCTTCAAGAAAACACAGTCTTTTAAAGTCGATACATAGTTTAATTTGCGCGGATTAATAATGTGCGTCCGTACGCGGCGACTGTCGAAAACCGAATCTCCTCGCATGTAATATCGCTCTTCCTATTTCTTGCCTTAAAACGCTCTTCGATAAGCTTCGAGAATTTTCTATTCGTTTACTTCTTTGTTTCTTAATCGTCTTGATATTTTCTCTATCTGTCTCGTCTGTTATGTTTATTTCTATTATTTATGTCTCGGTGACCGTATTCGTATACGTGTTTATCGCTCGATAATTTTAGGGAAGTATGTGACGATGTAATCGCCACTAGTATTCCTCCTCCTCCCTCAGCTCCCTTGTTTCCTTCTTTTTTCCACTCAACATGTTTTCTAAGCCCTTATATTCCAATTCCTATCCACTTTTCTCTCTATATTCTTCTTTTCCTCTGTTTTCCTTTTTACCTACTTAGCACCTCTCTACGTTCTCCCTCCTCTTTGCTTCTTTCTTCCTAAATTCCCTAGCTATTCCCTAGCACCTGTACTCTATTTTTCTGCACCCCGCTTTCTTTCTATATGTCTTATACACCCTGCCCACAATCAGCTGTCATCCAGCTTCCTATTTCTCTCCTTCCTACGTTCTCCGTCCACTATTATCTCTCATACTACTCTCTCTCATACTACTCTCTCACCCTCCACTTTTCTTCCTCTTCTTCCTCAAACTATCCTCTCACTTTCTCTGTACTATAAACCCTCTAATCAACCTCAACTCTTCACACTCACACTCCACGTGTACACTACTTCTGCACCGGAAACGGAAATTCCATATATTTCACAATATTACGTTGCATTTCATACGGAAAATTATAATTATTTTAAAATAAAAGTTTAACAAGGCTTTGTAATATAAATATAAATTTAAAGTGTAAGACAAGCAATAAGAGCCAATCGCGGAAGACAGTGCGTTATCCCAACGAAACTAAATTTTTTGTTAAAATTAAATATCTGTGCACAAGGCACCAAATTTTACTTGGTCACGGCCAAGATTTAAAATTGGAATAATCTCTACAAGAGATTTATTTCATACATCCCCTCTTCCAATATAGATTCATTTATTTCCTTAGGGGGAAGAGGGGATGTATGGAATTAAATCTCTTGTAGAGATTCTTCCAATTTAAATCTTGGCCGTGACAAGTAAAATTTGGTGCCTTGTGCACAGATATTTAATTCTAACGAAAAAATTTAGTTTCGTTGGGATAACGCACTGTCTTCCGCGATTGGCTCTTATTGCCTGTCTTACATTTTAAATTTATATTACAGAGCCTTGTTAAACTCTTAACTTATACACGCTGGCTATGGCGTTTACTTATCAACATTATTATATATAGCAGAGAAAAGTATAGAATCGAAAGGATTTGAATAGCTCAGTTGGAAGAGCAGTCGCCCGGCAAGCGAAAGGTCTCGGGTTCGATTCCCGATTCAACGACTTTCGGATCTATATTTTTTTCTTGCATTTACCAGGTGTATGCATAAGTTCTTTTCGGTTTAACTAAGAGATGGTGCCAGCGAAAAGTACGCGGCGCATTAATTTAAAACATACGTCATTTTGTTCGTCTAATATTAAACTAAAAAACACACACAAGTTGAGTCCGCCAAAATTAGCGTCTTTGTTTTATCGCTCAATGATCATGTCGAGTTTTGTGCCTGAAAAAGAACATTTGCGGCACGCATTGCTTTTTTTATTTAATCGAAAGAAAAAAACTGTTGAAAGTCATCGTTTGCTGGTAGAAACATATGGTGAACACGCTCCATCAATTAGAATATGCGAGACATGATTTCGACAATTTAAAAGTGATGATTTCAATGTGAAAGACAATGAGCGCTCTGGTAGACCACAAAAGTGTGAGACGAACAATTGCAGGAGTTATTAGATGATGACCCAACTCAAACTCAACAGCAATTGGCAGAAGCATTAAATGTCACAAGAAACAATCAGCAGACGATCGAAATGGGCCAGAAGACATGGCAAAGTGATTTTGTTACACGATAATGCGCCGTTTCACACAGCAAAACCAGTAAAAGACATCGCTTGGAACCAGTGAAATCGCTAGGATGGGATATTCTTCCGCACCCGCCGTACTCTCCAGACCTGGCGCCGTCTGATTATCATCTCTTCGCATCAATGGGGCACGCGCTCGCAGAGCAGCACTTCAGCAATTTCGAGGAAGTTGGAAAATGGCTCGACAAATGGTTTGCCGTAAAAGACAAGCAGTTTTTCTGGCGTGGTATTCATCAATTACCTGAAAGATGGGCGAAATGTGTAGAAACCGATGGCCAATATTTTGAATAAAAAGAAAATTAATTTCCCTTGAAAATTACGTGTTTTTTTTACCAAAAAACCGGAAAAAACTTATGCATACACCTGGTATTTATTTATTTCCGTAGGGGATTAAAGAATTATTGAAATTAAATCTCAAATATGAGATTATTTCTAATTTAAAAATCTTGGCCGTGACCAAGTAAAATTTGGTGTCTTGTGCACAGATATTTAATTCTAACGAAAAATTTAGTTTCGTTGGGATAACGCACTGTCTTCCGCAATTGGCTCTTATTGCCTGTCTTACACTTTAAATTTATTTTAAAATATATCCAGTTATTTTTCAATAACTTTCATTTCATTTAAAACTGAAAATATATTATTAAAAAGTTTTGAAATATTAAAAGTATACTTTCTTATTTAAATATTAATGATATAATAATGAAACAGAGTCAATTGAGAGATTTTCTAATACATTTTAGTAAAATATTTCCATAAAAGTTTGCATTCTGATTTCATTGCGCGAGGTCGGTAAAGCATGCCCCTGCCGATCGGCGGATAGGCAACCCGACTTACTGATCTGTAGGTTGCGGAAGCACCCTGTACATGCAGGATACGATCAATAACTTAATGGATAAAGAGTGATTGTAAAAGTGAATCCATGCAGAAATCAATTCCACATACTTTTTGGTTCCCAAAGCTAATAGAAAGCAGAGGTTCGTATTAAATTTGAAACAATTAAATAAGTTTATTGTTACGGAACACTTTAAAATGGAAGATATTAGAACAGCGATAAAGTTATTGCCACGAAGAAGTTATATGGCAGCCTTAGACTTAAAAGATGCATATTTTTTAATACTAATACATAAAAACAGTCGTAAATACTTATGTTGCGTAATGATCACGCTGAGGGCATGTGCTCGCCACACGTGTCTCTGGAAGGAGTGCGTCAGCGACGATGTGGTCGAAAAGAATTTTGACTCTTCTTCTTTCACAATATTTATTTGCCTTGGTTAGAATACAAGCTAGTTTCGTGCACTTAAGGGTAACTGAAAGCGTTATTGCGGGTAAAAATATAATGGACGCCTTTGTTTTCGCAAAAACGTGTCGCCTCAAGCTTGCGTCCGCTTCTCTCCGCGAACGAGTCAGCTCTGGCTCGCTCTCCCGAGTGGGGCTCCTAGGCACGCCCCATGCCGAGTATTACTATGCGCGAAAAGAGCGGTCCCAAATTCGCGCGCAAAAGACAAATTAAAATGTTTCGTTTTTTACGAAACAACGCCGCCCGCCTTGAAAGAACTGACTTTCAAAATAAACATAAAATAAATTGCTCTTTGGTTTACATGACTATGCGTTCCTTAAAGAATGGAAAACCGCAACTTACAAATAAATTGAATAATATTGCTTGTAGATACTCAGTAGTTATCTTAAGATAAACAGTCGTAGACGTGGTAAACGCAAACAAAATACATAAATGAACAAGGTATATATCGATAAAATGAATACAAATATAATAATTTTAACAATAGAATAATTTGAACGAAGTTAACAAGTCGCGTCCAACGACTCCATGGGAACTATTGCGAGCTAGACAAAGATCGCGTAAAAGAACCTTTGGTGGTTCTAACAGTCGCAGTGCGCGGAATCCCGTCTGCTCCGACGTGAATTTCTGTCACGCGCCCTAGCAGCCAATGCAACGGAGCGAAGTTTGGCTGTTTTAAAAGCACTATTTGATCTGGTTGCAATTGAGGACCCTTATCAGACTTCCACTTCGAGCGGGATTGTAGTGAATTTAAATATTCACAGCTCCACCTGCGCCAAAAGTGTTGTCTGAGCTGCTCCACTCGCTCCCATCGTACCAAGCGATTCTCGTTTACATCACCTAGGTCGGGACAAGGGGAACTATTCATAGCGGCGCCAATCAGGAAGTGACTTATATAAGAAAGATCATTTGGATCTGTGCTTAACGCGGTGATAGGACGTGAGTTCAAAATTGCTTCTATTTTGCAGAGAATTGTTTGCATCTCCTCAAACGTTAAATGAGCGTTACCAATAACGCGCGTCATATGGTATTTCGCAGATTTCACCGCTGCTTCCCATAAACCCCCGCAGTGTGGCGAGTGAGGAGGAATGAAGTTCCAGCTAATTTGTTGATCGCGAAGGAATTGTTTTACATCGTCCTGCGTTCGGTCTTTATTTAGAAATTCAAAGAATTCCTTAAGCTGATTTTGAGCGCCGACGAAGGTAGTTCCGTTATCGGAATACATGTGAGATGGTTTCCCCCTACGCAATATGAACCGCTTGAAAGCGGCTATAAATGTTTCAGTGGTTAGATCATTTACTACTTCTAAGTGTATCGCCTTAGTCGCAAAACAAACAAAAAGGGATATGTATGCCTTATAGTTTCGCGCATTTCGACGTTTATTCTCCTTTAATATTATAGGGCTCGCGTAATCAACTCCACAATGCGAGAATGGCTTCAAAACTGTTACGCGACCCGCGGGCAAGGAAGTCATTAAAGCTTCAGAAAACGTAGGCTTGACCTTAAAACATTTTACACAACCTAAAATGATTTTACGTGCAGCGGATCTCAAAGATAGAGGCTAGAACTGCTGTCTGACGGCAGCCATATTAGCTTGGGTTCCTGCATGCATGTTGCGTATATGCTCTCGCATTATTATTCGTTTTGTTAATTGTTGATCACGAGGTAAAAGTATAGGATGACATGCCGCGAAAGACAAATTTGAATTCTTCAATCTGCCCCCTACATAAACTAATCCTTGTTTGTCCATAAACGGAGACAAAGATAAAATCTTGCTAGATGGATTGATAGTTTTGCCGTTGGTTAACGCCTTGCATTCTTTGGAAAAGGAGCGCCGTTGAATTAGCTTACACATCAGATGCAATGCCGCTGAAGTTTCTTCATGCGATATGAAACATGTCTGTTGCCTTGGTTGTCTTTACAAATCTCAAGCAGTAAGCTAAAATACGACAGGCCTTGTTCAGGTTGGAATACTTGCTTAACAATTTGTCGACTATGTCACAATCGACAATAGTGGTGGTAGTGAACACCTTTCGCATTTCAGGAGCGTCCTTGCCCAGCTGAGAAAAATCATTGCTTGGCCAGTGTTCTTGATCAAGCTGAAGGAAGTTTGGTCCATGCCACCAAGTACTAGCGTTGATTAAATCACGAGGATTGAATCCTCGTGACAGCATGTCGGCTGGATTCTGAGCTGACGGTACATGACGCCAGCATTTTGACCCGGTTAATCGCTGGATTTCTCCCACTTGATTGGCAACAAAAACAGCCCATTTGCGAGATGGCGATGCTATCCAATTCGAAGTGATGGTTGAATCCGACCAGAGGTATATTTAGATGTCCAACATATCTATCGCCGCTTGGATCTTCTCGATGAGACGTGCCAATAGCAGGGCCGCCAAAAGTTCTAGACGCGGTAGCGATATGGCCTTCAAAGGCGCCACGCGGGATTTAGAACAGAGCAATTCCGCACGATAATTGCTGAGATTCTTTCCCGTTCTAATGTATACGCAGGCTCCGTAGGCGTGTTGGCTCGCATCGCAGAATCCATGTATCTGGATGGCCTGTGAATTGGCGTCGAACTTGACTCGACGTGGTATTGTTAATTGATTTAATTCCACCAGCTGCGACTTGATCGTTGACCAACGAGTATGTATGTGCAACGGCGGAGATTCATCCCACTGTACGTCCAGTTTCTAAAGGTCCTGAAGTATTAATTTGGCGATAACTATCGTAGGACCAATGAGACCTAAGGAATCAAACAACATAGAGACCTCAGATAATATAGTTCGCTTTGATACGGCCTTGTGTTCTGCATAGGGCGTGTATGAAAATGAAATGTGTCAGCGTCTTGATTCCATTGTATCCCTAGAATATGAGAGATAGTTTTATCCTCGATAGGGATCGGCTTATCGCTTTGGTTATCAAGCGAATCTAATAACTGTGGGTGAGTTGAAGCCCACTTGCTGAGCTCGAACGATCCCAGCTTCAATAATTGTATTATTTCATCCCAAATCGATTTGGTCTTCTGGATGCTGTCTGCTCTAGTGAGTATGTCGTCGACGTAGAAATCGTGTAGAAAGTGTGTCGACCCAACTGGGAATTTTAATGTGTGCCGCTCAGCCAAATCCTTTAAACATCTTGTGGCCAAGAAGGATGCCGAGGACGTTTCGTAGGTGACTGTAATTAGTTTATAAATATTAACATCTAGAAAAGGGTCATCTCGTCACAATATCCTTTGCAGACGCGTTTGCGTTGGATGTATTAGTACTTGTCTGTACATTTTTACAATCTCAGTTACTACACGAATGTACGGAATCGCAGTAAGATTGACGTTAAATCTTGTTGCACAACCGGGCCGACGCTTAAGGCATTGTTTAATGACACGCCTGATGCGCTCTTGCATGAAGCGTAAAAAACGACGCGAATCTTCGACGATGGTTCTGAGCCTTTGAACACGCAATGGTGTGGCAAATAATAAGACTGCTCGTGTTCGTTCGGCAATTCGTTTACTTGCTTCATATGGCCTAGAGATAAATACTCGGAAATGAACCGTGCATATTGTTCTTTTAGTGCGGGCTCTCGACAAAAGCGTTTTTCCAAGTTTTGCAAGCGTTTCAAGGCTATGCTCTTTGAGTCTCCAAGCTGATTGATCAATGACTCGTTAACTGGAACTTTGACTGTGTATCTACCATAAGAGTCTTGAGAAGTGTTAGCCAAAAATGATCCTCACACAATGCTTCTGCCTTGATGTGCTCGGCAACAATACGAGGGTCCTCTACATCCCAAAACTTTGATAATTGGTCATGCAGTTGATTGTTAGTGAAAGTTGCGTGAAAAGATTGTACGTTATGCGTGGTCATTGGTAGATTATTTAAACGACCAGCCAGTATCCAACCGAATTGCGTCTTTTGCAATGTCGGGTGTTCGGAGGAGGCCCTGATTTGTCCCACGCATAATAATTTCAAAAATACCTCGGCTCCAATCAATATATCAATGCTAGACGAAATGTCGAACTCCGGATCTGCTAATTTGATGTTGCGAGGAAGGTTATATGCTTCTCGCTTAATAGTGAAAGCCGGAAGGTCACCTGTGATTCGATCTGTAACAATACAGTCAATTGTAACGGAGTATGAGGTGTACCGAAATTGTAACTTTACCCTGACTATGTGAGTAGATTTTGTAGCCGTATCACCTATGCCCGTTATAGAAATATTTAGAGGTCGAGGCTGTAATCCGAGTAGCTTCATACAATTTGTTGAGATAAAGTTTGCCTGAGACCCATTGTCCAATAGCACACGGCAAGTTCTTGTTGATCCATTGGCGTGGGAAGCGTTAATTACTGCGGTTGAGAGCATGATGTGATTTTTAATGTTGTTGCTGTAGGCGTGCGTCACCAGCGTCGTCGATGAGCTTACGGAATTTGTCTTTTTGGCCTTAGTTGATTCGACTTCCTGTATTCCGCTTGCATTGTTTGCCAAATGTAGTAACGTGTTGTGCTTGGCGTCACATATCCTGCAACCCTTTGATGTGCATTTGGCGGACGCATGAGACGAAGAACGCATGCAATTGCCGCAAATTTTTCGATTGCGAATCTCCGTTATCCTCTGCGGTACTGATAATGCTAAAAAATCTTTGCAATAATATATGGCGTGATCGCCATTACAAAAATTACATTTAGGCTTGACCGTCGCGACACATGAGGCTTGACGCTTTAAACTGGACTGCTTATTAACGTTTTTTTTGCACAAAGAAATTGTTTTTCCCGTGGCCTCAAGCATTTGACATCGACGAATTATGAAATCGTTAAATTTCTCGAACGTAGGAGGGTTTGTACCGGTCAGTGACGATTGCCACTCTCGCATTGTGAGTGTATCTAATTTGGAGCTTAAAACATGCACGATTAAGTCGTCCCAATGTAAAGTAGGACGCCCGAGGGCTTCCAATGCTTTGATGTGTTTAGTCGCTCCGTCAGCGATATGTTGCAAATCAACTAAATTTTCTTTAGGCATAGATGGCAGGTCCATGATTGCCTTTACATGAGTTTGTACGACAACACATTTATTATCGTAGCGCTTCTTTAAAAGATTTCACGCGATATCATAATTTAAATCGTTAATTTCTAAAGAGTCTACGACACTGCTCGCATCACCGGTTAGCGAAGATTTCAAATATTGTAATTTTTGTATATTATTTAGCGTTCGATTGGAATGTATAATAGAATTGAAAGAATCGTGAAAGGGAAACCACTCATCGTATTTTCCGGAAAATGTCGGCAAATTTAGTTTGGGCAACCGAACATTGAAATGAGTTTCTACCGCGTCAGAAGCGCGTGATGAAGAACGTGAACCTTCTGTTAAGTTCGGTAATGCGGGTTTAATGAGCTCCCGCATTTTTCCGGATAACGAAAAAATGTCTCCTCAAAATTGTCACGATTACTTGCTTCATTTCCGTCGAGTGACTCAATTTGCGTTTGTACGTCATTGTAATCCGACCAATATTCGTTTAATTTATTTTTACGCTCTTCAAGTTGAGCTACGATAGGCGGCGTAACGGAAACAATGGCATCTACGTACGTCTTGACTCGCGTGCATGAAGTCCTGATGGTCGCGCGCTTTCTTTTGAGCGATGCGATATCAGTCATATTGAATTAATGAGTTTATTTGTTAATACGAAATGAATACGGGTTGGCGCCGCTAAAAAATAATCACTCTTACCGCAATGTTTACACGTAACGCGATCCCAAGGAAGCCGCTTTGATGTGCTGCTCTCGCTGCGTTGGTGCTCGTGCCTGCAGTCTCGTTGTCTGGGATGAATTTCTGGATGCCGTCGATAATTTCCGGATGTAGGAAGAGGCCGCCCGATTGCGTCGATAACGTCAGTTAGCCGTTCGGAAAATCGTGATATAGCAGAGATCGCCGCAATGTCTACACGTGACGCGATCTCGAGGAAGCTGCCTTGATGTGTCGGTCTCGCTGCGTCACTAGTCATGTTTGCAGTCTGGTAGTCCAGAATAAATTTCTGGATGCCGTTGATGATTTCTTCCAAAATATTTTAAGCTGCCTGATTGCGTGAATGATATCAGCCAGCCGTTCGGAAGATCGTACTGCAGTAGATGTCGCCTGTCGCGGCGATGTAATTTGATACCCCTGTTGCGATACCGAAAGCTTACAGTGCGTTGGAGAATTTCGCCCGTTTGATTCCCGGATTCTTCCACACTTTTCTTCC